GGTGCGTTGGTTAAGAGTTGGCTTGGGATGCCAGCTCTGAGCAGCAGGGCCCTGAATGATAATACCAACATGGGCCAGTGAAGCAACGTCCTCCACAACTAGACTGAAGAACAAAAGGACAGCAACTTGTCTGTTCCCCTTGCCTGATTCCCCAGCGCTATTCCCCTCCCCCAATTTCCCATTAAAATCTTAAAAAAAAATGCATCTATTGTAGGGATTTGTTTTCTTTCTCCCATTTTTGCTCCCTAATTTATGACAGAGTAGGGCAGTCATTCTGGCAAGAGACTTCTATATGACTGTATCTCTTGCTGGGTTGTTTTAATAATGAGTATTGATAAATGCAAAGAAACTTTTGAATTAAGTTCATAAGTCATTTCATGCACTGTAAGTTCTAGGATAAGGTATCCTGCTATTACTGTATATAAATTGTCTCTTTCCTGCATGCTCTCTTTTTTCTGTCTTGTTTTATTTGTACCTTTCTTTCTAATACAAGAGGCTGGTGGAAAATAGTCATTTTGTTTTCACTTACTTATTTGCCAAAATGATTATGTCAGAATGTTTACAACCTTAAGGACATTTTCATATAGGATTGTGTTTTGTTTCTTGCACATGTCACATTACAATTGTTGGTGAATAAAATTTTCTCTCTAATCTGAGCAAGCGATCTGAGAGTAGGTATGTATCTAAAGTGTTATTCTAAGTGTTTGTAGTAGGTTAGCAGATGGTGATGTCGAATACACTAGACACTTTAGTAACTCCAAAGTTGAAGATAATAACAGAGAAATCTAGTTTTAGGTGAATTCTTATAGAATCTGTTTCCCAAATCCTGGGATTTAAAAAAAAGTTATAACACGATTTTTAAATTTTTTATTATTTTTTTAATATGCTTGTTGACTCTGCTACTAGAACACCAGGGACTGGAAGGCATGTTCAATGCCTGCGATGTACCAGGTCTGTGAAATATTTCCCATTATGTAGCATCATCTAATCTTACAACAAGCCTGGGAAGGAGACGGTATCATCCTTGTTTTATACTTGAGGAAATTGAAGCTACGGGGGTTAATCCTAGTTAGCTGTGGGTCCAGGCCTTGGCCTCATTTACCAGTCTCTAGATTCTGAGAAAGTCTCTTAATCTGAGGAACCACATGTACTGAACCTGGTTGTTGACATCTTCTTCAAAGCCACTGGTGCAAAAAATTTTAGGACCTCCTTCCCCCTTTTGGAGATGTACAAGACATGTCTTTTGCCATCCATTTCCCTGGCAAATGTTTAATTGAGCACCAGGTGCTTTGGACATTGTCAGTTGCTTATATTTTTCACAATTAATACTTCTTATTAAATTTTTCTTGGGAAAATTCAGTAAATTTTTTTGATGTATAATTTTTCATTTTTATAAATTTATAGTGCCTTTTCAAAGAAGGGGGAAATTGCTATGGAAATAATCTCAGTTCTTCCTCATAGTTTATCTTTTAGATATAAACACATTATGCTCTAGCCACAATTTTAAATACTGGCACTTATTCCATTCAGGGTAATCATTTAAATGCCACTTATTTTGATATTCTAGTGGTGTGTGTGTGTGTGTGTGTGTGTGTGTGTGTGTGTGAGAGAGAGAGAGAGAGAGAGAGAGAGAGAGAGAGAGAGAGAGAGAGAAAGAGAGACTGTTCCATAATCATTCCAGATGAACCATTTAAGGTCTTGGAGGGATATAATGTGTATTGTGTTACTGATCCATGGATTAAGTCAGTGCCTTGTGGAATAATTTGAGGGAGGGAGAGGAAGCATGGATAGTATACTCAGGAATATACACTCCCTTAGGAAGCTAAAGTTCATTGTATACTGTATACTAAACAGTTCCAGTAATGTAGCTGTTTGCGGTTAGGATCTTGTTGGGTATTATGGATAATTGCAAAAGAGTAATATTATTCAACAGCTGACTGCCGATCTTGAAGAATGTTTAATCCAATACACTATCATCATGTTATACACATTATGTGGATTGCAGATGTGATGTTTACACAGAAAGAATCATGTAATTTAACTGCCTCATGATACAGATAAAGGAAGTCTTGTCCAGAGACTCCCATTATATATCCATTCGGTGACAGGAAAT